AAAGTGCAGACTTTCAGCTTTAAGAGTACCTACATCCAAATTGGGTGGATGGTGTAGAAATTACAACCATTTTTATACATAGCCCTCAACCTCCTGCCTCCATTTTATGGACTCAAAAGTAATGGGACAAAGTAACAATTATTTGCCAAATTGCAGGCACTGCCTGCCTGAAGTCTGGAACTCACAGACATCACCAGACACTGGGTTTTTGCCCTTGTGATGCTCTGCCAGGCCTTTACTAGAGGACCACCATCAGGTGATTGACTTGGTCATTGCAGAACATTCTACTTGTTTGGCTTAAAATAATTTGGGTTGCATTTGCAGCATGCTTCAGGGTCATTGTCCATCTGCACTGTGAAACGCCATCCAACAAGCTTTGAAGCATTTAACTGAATCTCTGCAGATAACAAAGCCCTATACACTTCAGAATTCATCCTGCTGCTGATGTCAGCAGTCACATCATAAAGAAATATAAGGGAAACAGTTCCATTGGCAGCCTTACATGCCTACGCTATAACACTACCTCCACAGTGGTTGACAGATGAGGTGGTTTATTTTGGATTAGGGATGCGTCAGTATAATTTTTTTGAGACTGAGTACAAGTATATGTTTTTTTAGTTCTCGCCAATACAGAGTCCGGTATCCTACTGAGTAACCTACTTAGAATTAAGTAGCTGTCAGTGTAAATGAGTGCAATGTACTCTAACTGTTACACCATTAAAATCTAGTTAATTTAAATGACATGCATTAGCTAGCTATGCTACATTAGTTACCTTGGATTGAGTAGTGCTGCAGTGGACAAAAGTGGGATTATTCCATGTCAGAAAAGCACTTCAGAACATTTTCATAGTTTTGATCCTCCTCTGCCTCTTTTAACACCAGTCTCTATGGCACAGCAACAGCAAGAATCACATCTGAGGCTAATGTGTCATGTTGCTGGACTCGTCTGTTTGGCTGGTTGAGCTGGAGTTGAATGCCTTCTAAAGTCAGACATACACTGTAATTTTAGAAATCTTGTTCTTTGGTGACTCACACTGTACGTTTGCATAGCCCACCATGTATGGACAAAGCCTATGATTTATATATTTACACTGTACGAAAATGCTCAGTCCATGCTACATGAAATGCAGCCAGACAGAAAGCTCTGTCTACTGACAATTTTAAATAACTGTTATTTCAAAATAAAATGCTGCCCGCTGAGTACTGAGCAAACACACTGAAAAACTGACACTTTGCTAACACTGTTATAAAGACAATTTAAAAAATCACCATATTAACGTTTATACCTCACAATTCTGTTAAGTCAAACAAAGTGATGTTGCATGTATGGATTTTCATTCCGCAAATGTTGACTTCTCCCCTCCATTTTGCTAGTCTACGTGTCTCCACCAGTATTTAGGAAGCGTTTCTGATTGTGCTTGCGTGTGCTTAAAATCTCACAGTGAATTCCTGGCGGGAATATGCCAAGGAGGAATGTTTAAAGTGACCAGTGATTTTGCATTTGAGTTTGAGCAGACCCTCATTCCCTGCCAGCTTGAGTCATTTGTTCATTAGCACAGCAGACTACGCTAGGCTTACATCACACAGTATCAGCTGGTATAGGATGTTGGTGTTGGTGCCTTTTTACCAGGAGGTCTGGTACAAGTAAATGAACATCGTATCAGATTGAGATCCAGTACCAGTATTGGTATCAATGCATCCCTACTTTGGATAATAAGCAGTTCATTTCCCTCTCCATATTACAAGTTGATTTTTCTTCACCAGGGAAGGAATTTGGTCATTCTGTTTTCTCTGCAAGTCTACACTTTGAACACATTATTAATTGTTTAATTTCAATTCCGATATGCTGTGGTAGATAAAAAGCTAAAATAACAATAACTTAGTTGATTTCCAAATACTTATGGGCCTGTCTGTATATTTCTTACTGTCCACCACTATTTATATATATTTTGTATATTTCAATATCATTCTTTGCGCTCAGGCTTGAGAAAGTACATAGTTGCCATTTCTGTTGGTTTAAAACTGCAGATTTTCAAAGCTGGCTAGTGACAGCACGGCCTGTAAAAGGTGCTACACAAATCAAATCAGAATTGGAAAACTGCTGGGAGAGCTGAAGCTGCAATACTCCACAGTGAGGGGCAATCAATCCCGAGCCATGACATCATCTTCTAGGGATCGGAGCGGAGCGTTGCCAATCAAAGGCACAAAGTTTTGGTGTGTCGAACCTAAGCACTCTGCCACCGCTAGAACTCACACGTCTCAGCTCTAGCGTGCAGCTCAGCTAGAGTCACTCCTATCTGTCTCTCGGCTAAAAAAAGAATCCCGGGACGTGCGTCTTCACTCAGGGTCGACTGCGTCATTAGCATAACCGTGGTTTTCGCTGGGATTCAGTCCACGTACGTGGCAGCATGAGGAGAATGGAGCTTGGAGCTTAATAACTAACTGCTTTCATGATTAAAGTTCTCCAGGTAAAGGTGCTTGTACAGGAGACTGCGGGAACAGTTAATGAGGGAGGCGACTGTATCGTATTATGTCTAGGATGCGCTATTTATCTCCTTCCACAATTTAATTTTTCAATGAATGCTCTTACACTGATTGCTTTCTCTCATGCCCACGATCGATCCCCAAACTCTAGCTTCCCACTTTTAACTTTAACATATTGTACATAAAAACCCAGCAGAACCCTGAAAACATTCCTGCTCAGACAGACAGTCGGACAAATGAGTGTGCCAAAAAACATTTAGATTTCGAACATGTGTTGCTTGCCAAAGGATAAACCAAGGGGATGAAATTGTACGTCCTTTGTATGAGTCACAATAGGGTATTATTCTTGGACAGAATGAAAAAACACTATTGTTCTCCTCCAGTCATAAAATGTAGCACTGTGCAGTAATGCACTCTGTGATTATGATGTATAACAGAGACAAAAATAACTATCAGTGAACCGCAGACTGATGATTCAGAAAAAATACAATGTCTATACTGGTCTGGGAAAAAGTCAAGAAAATGGTTTAAAACTATTTATCAGGGCAGTAGGTGTGTTTTACACACTACATAACCTCTGATCTTATTACATACAAATAAACTTTAATACAGTAAAAAGAAACAAGAATCCTTGTTGTCAAAGACATAATTAGTAAGTTGTGAGCTGGTTACAGGAATACAGGTATGGCTTCTCTTCTCCACTATATTCCAGCCATTACAAGGATTTATTAAAGGAATACTCCAGTGATTTTCAACCTAATTTAGCATTTTGCAACCCAGTTTTTTCAGTCTAGTCGGCTTGCTTCAGCTCCTGTCCAGTGGGTACAACTGTGTGCCAATTGTTGTCTTGAATCAACCCATTTTTTAAGCTTTCATTAAGTGCATGGAACACTGTATATAAATCATCGTCTGTGGTAACAAACTGTATGCTACAGATGCAACAGATGAAAATTAGGTCATAAAACATTAGAGCATTCCTTTAAATTTCACCACCAACACCTTCATAGAGTACACTACATAAACCAACTTTTGGATTTTGACTACAAATTCTGGGCTGCCTCAAGGACACAAGTTATTACATTACAGTTTTTCTCATTTGTAAATACACTATGCCACAATGATAAATATATTGAATTTATAATTTGACTATTAGAGCTAGACCTTTAATTTGCCAAACATGGTCAAAAAACAAAACAAAAAAAACCCCACAACTCTATAATGTTCATTTATGCTAGCACCTCTAAGAGATTTTCCAATAGTACATCTGCATTAAGCTAATGCTGGTGCACATAAACACAGTATCTGTAAGCTAACGATGGTGTATATGTATCTACTCATGTCCATGTCTTAACCTGTTTTGTTTCCGATCAAAACATTACAGACATGTATTTTAGTTCCCAGAACTTGATGATATCAGCCCCTACAGAAATTTGATTGCTCATCATGGGTGCCCCCCTAATAAAGCTGGTAGTTGATTTGTTATTAGGTTGTCATTCTAGGATAAGACTGGGTGTTGTGGGTTGCTTTAATTTAGGGATCACAAGAAAGTGGTTGTATAATAGCAATTCATTTTGATTCTGCATAAGATTAGCTTTGTCCTCTTTCTGCAGGCCCCAGAATGGCCTACTCGCCAGGGGCCTGGAAACTGACTATTTTGAATTAATATGATCAAATTAAGCTGCTAGTGAGCAATGAAGAATGAACGAGGAGGGGTGACAGCTCCCTGATGTAAAAACAATTCACACATCTCCTCAAAACAAGATAAAAACAGACAGCACAACAGCAGCTACAAACAATCTTGTACAACTGCTTCAATAAAAACTAAAAACACTTTTAAATAATAAATGCTGATGTGCTTGCTCACTTTCCATCAAGACATATTCCACCAATTTTACTGAAGACAGAATACATAGCGCAAAAACTAAGGGACCTCCTGCTGCCCTAAAAAGGAGTTAAACTGTACCAGAAGCCTGCAAAAGAGAACCACAGTAGTGGCATGATGCGCATGACAAGGGGGAAAAAACAGACTCATGAAAGACTTCACTCACTGTAACCAAACTAAACCCTATGACAGTAACCTTCTTAAGTGTTATTTATTACATATTGCTTGAAGTGACAGGTTATTTAAAAATGGTATGTACTTTAAATTACCATTTGGTATGTTTTCCATTAATGCTATACAGACAGCTTTATATTTGCTTTATATTTTTTTAAAAAGTACAAATTTAGGGAAATCTGTGCTATTTATTTGTACTTAATTTAATATTAGCCTTTCTTCCAAGCAGATAAACACTTACTGCCCAGAAAAACAACTTTACATACAAATATAATATAAATATGAATATTTCTCAGACACCCTTAGACTTCAGCACAGTACTCAGTGAAACTGGGCTCAAAATAACCTTCAGTAGAAATAGAGTGTTGCAAAGATAATGCAGCATATATGTGAAAGAGGAAGCAGCAGCACTGTTGGATTTAAGCGGGTTTATAGAGGAGAGGTGGCAAGCGTCTCTTACCGTGAAGGTATAACTCTGCTGCTCTTCACGGTCCACAGGCTTCAAGAGTGTCAAGTAGCGTGCCAGCCCACTGGGTGTCACCGCAAAGATGCTGTCGTAGTTGTCCAGGGAGATTCGTACCATTGGATCTTTGCTCTGCAAGGGGTATCAATTATATTCCAATGTCAATGTAAGGGGTCCATGCAATTCAGTGGGTATAAAAAAAATAAAAAAAAAACAAAACACCAAGAGCAAACCACTGCAAATGCAGAGGAAATCAGCCCGTTTAGTTCATCCATGAATTTTGAGGACAACTCAACTAATTCCTAGGATGAAGGCAGGAGAAAAAGAGGGGGAAAAGCAAGCCAAATCCACAGTTTACAACTTACCTCTTCCTTTTTTAATGCACAGCAATCAAATACTATTATTTATTTTAGCAGATATTTCTGAGAAGGAAAATAACATGATTTTCCAAAACTAGAGTTCAAAAAATGATTAAAAGGTGAGGAGAAAACAAAACACCTAACAACCATGCAAGACCATGCAGACCACCAAAACTGCCGCCATCAGATAATCAAAACAAAATCAAGCTCCACTCTTGCTAAATATCTGAAACTTAACACTATGGGTCTGTCAAAAAGCTGTTACAGAGAAAAATGTAGGAGTCAAAAAGCTGCTGGTGTTCTCAGAAAAATGGACTGGCCACCTCGGTAACCAGGCCTCATCACTGACTGCTCGGGATTACTTCTTAAGATCATAAACTTTGGAGGAACGAAAAAAATATCCCAGTAGATTTCTTTGGAAAATGGTAAGCAAGTCTCTCGAAAAGAATGGAAGCTGTAATAACAGCAAAAGGTGACAGAATAAATATGGAAAAAGATATTATGTTTAGTTGTGTGATCTTTCTGCTTTTTTTTCCTGATGCTAAAAACTTCTTAACTAACTGCCTGTTTGAGTGGATGTCAAAAAATGAAAGGTGGTCTCTGTTATTTGAATAGTACCCCATACACCGTCTCAACTGTAGAAGTCAAAGAATAATAAGCCTGCAGTTCAAAATGTTAAAAGCTCAATGGAGCACTGTAAAATGAACCACAGAGATATGAAAAACTGTTCAGCACACAAGACATACAGTAGGAATCTATAGGTGTATGCCTTGCTGTGCGGCCTGATCAACATTCCTCGCTGACCTGGATGCCCATGGCAGTCACACAAATGCCCGTAAGCATTTTTCAACGCTTATGGCAACTTCCATTATGTGAGCTGCTCCTGTTTTCTCTGCTCTGTTAGTTAATGCTTCTGTGACCCTGGTTGTTAATGGGCTCGATCCAAGCATAAACACGGCTGTAAAGAAAGTTGAGAGGAAAATGATCTGGATGACTGTGGTTTATTCACGTGATGGTAGATACATATGATTAACCTTACATGTGTTTTCTTTCTTGTGCATGGAGACCTACACAGACAGGGTCCCTGGTGACTTTCTCGTCGTCAGCCTGAGTGCACCCTGCTAAGCCCTCACTCAAAGTTTAAACACACAGACGCTCATGCACACGCACATTGCCTGAACACTAATTAGAGTGAGGAACTGTGCTATACCAGCAGCCTCGTGCTGAAAATGGCAAAAAAAAAAATCTGAAGGAAAGCGCAGGGGATTCCTTTATTAACGGTTTCAGCCATAACACTTTTGCTAACATTCTCCCCTCCCTTATGTGGTCTTTCTTTTTCAGCTGCGAGTTGTCCTAAAGATTCACCAAAAATTCTAAACGAGACACTTCAAAGACACTGTGGGCAGGCTCTGAGCGTAAACACAAATCAATAAAACACGGCACAAGACGGTAACCATGCAGAGCATTAAACAAATTAAATGGTAGAAGAAAGGACAGCACAGCAGAAAAGACAGAAAAAGAGGAAGGCCAGATGAGGACTTCACACCTCTAGTCAAGGGTCTAGCAACACTTTCGCTAATACCTACAGGCACTTGGTTAAGTGTGAGCTACGGGAAGAAGACAGGCCATTAGGGTGTGAGCTGAGGACAGTTTCCAGTCTCTTAAAAAAGTTCTGGGATTATGTGCAAAGAGCATGTGAGATTTTAAGCACTTCGTCTTGGTGATCTGTAAAGCCAGCGTGATGAACAACATCGAACATTCTGGAAAGTAAAGAACACTTCAAGTTTCCAAGCACAAATATTTAACTGTTTTTCCCTTCATGGCAGGATCTTTCAGATGGATTGTTGACTTTACCACACCTTCTTTGCATCAGAAGAAAATCTAAATTTCTTCAAACAGAGAGAACTGAACAGAGAATTGTGCCTTTTTCTCCCCACTTCAAGTTCAAAATTGATGTGTCTCATCTGTTCAGAGTCTGTGGTCAAAAGTGGAAATGTTAAACATGAATATGCTTTGATAAAACATTTATTAATGCATATTTGATGCCTCTTATTGCGTTTCATTAATTGCCTGGATTAAACAGTAAATGGTTAAGCATTTAACTGAATGTTTTTGTCTGGACATTTGTATACAAGAAATTTGATGTAACTGGACCTTTCACATGTTTTGTTTAAATACCCCTCTGCTATGCTATTTAAATATAATCAGTAGTGGTGTTGAAGTTCACAGTTTAATAACATGCTAACACAATTTTTTTAACTAATTTTTCTAGTTTGAACCTTCAAACAATCTGCGACTGTAGCCCTTTTGCTTAAGCACAGCTTTAAAATGGCAAGTTCCATTAATGATCTTGATAAATGTTATCCCAGCCAATGTGGTGCTGAATTTACTTTTTCAGTCTAATATCAGTAATATCAGTAACATTAGCATTAGCATCTTCAGCAGACTGCACTGGACAGTGCTCTCTGGAGAATTGTGGATAAGTCAACAAGCAGCAAACTAACAGAAGCATCTGCAAAGCTACTGTTCCCTCAAAACAAGACATTATGTAGCAGCATGAGAGGGCTACAATCGTGGTGGCCAAAACAGCTGGTGATGGAAATTGGATTGCTGTCATCCTACTTTCATGTCTATTTCATATAAACCCTATGCTCATATAATAAAAATAATGCTATTGGATTACTGAAAGAAAATATAACTCAATGACTTGTAAACGGTCTGTTCCAAGTATCTCATTGACATCAGCACAAAAAAGAGATATTTAATCATTTTCTACAGGTAAGCAGGTGAAAAGGTAACATGTGATGCAATCTTGATTGTGTATGTCAGGAGCTTTCATGAACAAACAATTCTCAATACACAATTGCGTTGTTCATCACATTATCTAAAGATTCAGAGAATCTGGAGAAATCCCTATGTGTAAAGGGCAAGGCTAAAACCTACTATTGAATGCCCATGACCTTCCATCCTTCAGGTGGTACTGCATGAAAACCGACAAGCTTCTGTAATGAACAGAACTGTATGGACTTACTTGCATAGAATACTTCATAAAACACTTGTCAGTGAATACAGTTTGGCGCTGCATCTACAAACGCATCCACACATGCAGGCTGTCTATTTTTATTTACGTTTTTCCCACTTCCCCACTTTTTTGGAATTGGGTATGTACATCCCGATTAAGCTTTTTTGGTCTGCTCATATAACTATAACAAAATGCACTGCTTTTAAAAAAGGAAGAATTTTACATTCTCACGATTAACTACATAAAATAAAGTGATAAATTGCAATTAATTATTTTAAATATTTGATAGCACTAGTTATTATATAATTATAGATTTAATTATGCAATGGTCTAAGCATTGGCTCTATCATTAAGAGATTGTGAGCACAGCCATCTCTGGAATCGAAGAGAGCATAGTTGGCCGCACTTTCTCTGGGTGGGAGGCACGGCCCTTCCTCTCACCATTACACCTCCTCCAAGTGTGCTGAGCTGTCCAGTGACATAGTAGTTTGAAAAGATGGCGCTTTATGTATCTTGGAGGAAGCACATGCTAGCCTTCCCCCACCCAGCTTGGTGGCATCGTGTGATGGGGGATACCTAGTTAGCGGCAGGGAATTAGCCATGAATAAATTTGGGGAAAGATTGTGTTAAAAAAATTCCAATTACATTCAATTTATATTCTGCATCAATAGGGTAAAGTCACTTCAAATATTTAAAAACTTGGCAAAAATGGGAAGTATGGATTGGACAGTAAAACATTTCTTCACAACAAAAACTTCTTATTAAACTGAAACATCTCTTTTACTTACAAACACAAATTTGGTGTCAACTGGACACTGAATGGAATATTCACTATTAAGTTACACCACACTTTATTGTTACCAGAGAATTATGCAGTTTTCTGATGATAACGATATGTGATTGAACCTCACCTCCTCCACGTCATTATCCAGAGCGATGATGGTCAGAGGGGAGGAGAGATTGCTGCTACTGGAGATAGTGGTGCCCACTGAAGCAGACTCAATGATGAAGCCGTGGTAGGCAGGTGCCTGGAAGTATGGCGCCTGGTCATTCTCATCCAGCACCTCGATGTGGAGGTTAGCAAAGGCTGGGAGGGGGTGGCCATTGTCCTGCTCAGCCTGCAATTGGAGATAACAGTCAGTAAAAAGATCCTTGAGGAGGGAGCTCCCCCCAGACAGATATGCAAGCAATTTGGCAAAATCAATAAAAAACAAATTATGGAACTCGAAACTTTTAGATTTGCCATTACAAGGTAACACGTTTTATGTAACACCTTTATGTTACGTGAGCACCTGATGCTTTAGCATTAGTTAAAAAACACTGCTAAGTTGACCTAGTTAGTTATAGTAGCATTAACCAGTAGTTGATTGCAATGTGCCAATAAGTCAGCCACAATGGAGAAATTTGATTTGCCACTGAAACCTTTTCTTGGAATAAAATGAAAATCGCTAGGATGTAGTACATAGCAACTACATAGCAATGTAGTAATGCAGGTTATGTTTATGAAAATGCCAGGCAAATACGTGTTGCACAACACTACAAACATGTGAAAACGATCCAAGATATATATTATAAGCTTTTGAAAATAATATCAATTAATGACAAAAACAGCATTTCGCTTGATGAAGATGAGGCTGAGGTTGCACCTGCTGAAACCACGCAAGAATGTTGCATTGACTGTAATGATCCTCCACTCAAAGAAATGAAGGCTGCACTCTATTAAAACAAGTCATTCCCTATTCTGCTGCCTCCTTCATTGGTATAAATCCAAGGACACGCAGCCCATAAATGGCCTTTATGAAAACGCAATGGAGCTGCGTACTACTGATCTTCACAAAGACTGCTCCAACAATCTTCTTTGTAAAGATTCCTGCCAATGGATGGACAACAAAGGTGGGCATGTGCAATAATTAAGCATCTCTTGCCATCCACTGCCGGGTTTGAATCACACTGGTTTTATCCATAGCTTTCATCAGTGCAGACCACAAAAAAAGCTTAAGAGGGATCCTAATTAGACAAGGCTTCTGATGCTAATTAGAGATCGCTACTATGTCCTACAACTGCGGTCAACAATAAGATGGTGTTGGAGAGATTTTGGTGCCAGATGAAAAGCACAAACTGCAGCAATTAGGACTAGCATTGTAATGAGAGTGACATATGCTGCAGTATGTAATTATGGCTAAAGATACCCTAAAGAGATAATTGAGGTGGTCTCTCAGTGGCGGGTTCTAAGAGACAGTGGAGCCGTGTGTAAATTAAGCAAACTACCAAAACAAGGCCAAAACACTGAACCCTTGCTAATGACAGTGAAAGTTTGTTTTTCCATCTAAATCACACTAAATGTTTTCTTTCCTGACAGAAGCTGTCAACTTATTTTGTTAACCTGTTTATGGTTTTGGCAATAGGCTCCTGCATGAATGTACTTTTTATGGCCAAATTAAGAATAATACTGGTCATTTCAATTGAGAGTTTTTTGCACACATTTCCACAATTGGAAACGATGTTTGGCTGGCCTATATTGGAAGATGCTGATGTTAAGTGATCCCTCGAAGCAATTAATATTACAGCAGATATAGAGCTTTAACTGGGCTTTCCATACTGTCCTGTTCTCATGCTGTATGCTGCTGACAGCATTTAGCCCCCACTTGTTTAATTCTAAATCTCTTTATTCACACAGAACTTGTGACATATAACATATTGAACATATAACCAAAAAATGCTTTTGGTCATGAGCTTAGGACCCGTGGACCTTGGTGCCATATCCGGTGTGGGACTCTAGCATGCCAGACTAAAAACTGATTTAAAGAAAATTAGGGAGAATGAATAAAGAGCAACATTTTACTGTAGGGCAGCGTTTGTTTAAAGCTGTATGCCCTTTCATAAGCCATTTATAAGAATGTAATATAAACATAAACCTACATAAATACTTATAAACACCTATTCAAATGGGTACCATTTGTCATAAAGGATGCATTTGCCAACTTTAAGGACAAGTTGACATAACATCAATGTCAGGTGAGAGATTTTTTTTACTGACACTGTGTCACTGGCCCTGAGGTAAAGTAAGTTTCATTTTACCATTTGTAAGATTTAAGCAATGGTCAAATGGTCATTTGACCATTTCGTGAGATGTCACCTGACATAGGTGTTTTATTAATTTGACAGCAAAGTTAACAAAAACAGCCTTTATGACAATTGATGCCTATTACAAGAAGCCTTTATACATTTAGATAGATTTGGGTCAGTTGTCATGACATGCTTGCATAGGTGTCATGTAGCCTTATGAACACTGCCCTAAAGTAAAGTGTGACCAAATAAAGAAGAAAAACTAAAGCACTCACATAAGCACTTGCATGGATTCTATCACATACTATCACCTATTTTATTTATTAGATATTACCAAGTGCAATCTACAACAACCTAATTTCTCACAAAAAAATAAATAAATCACAGAGAGAGTATGATATGGATAAGATTTCCTGAAACTCTGACATATGACACAGAAACTGAATATTCAGGATATAATGATATTCAGTACTACTTATAAATACAGGCATGCAAAAAGTTTAGGCACCCCTGGTCAAAATTGTTGTTACTGTGAATAACTAAGCGAGATGACTCAACTCCCAAAAGGCATGCAGTTAGTGATGACACATTTCTTTAACATTTGAAGGAAGATATTTTTTTATTTCCATCTTTTACAGTTTCAACATGACAAAAAAAGAAAAGGGCCCAAAGCAAGTTTGGGCACCCTGCGTGGTAATAATAAGAATCACCACTTGTAAACACTTTTTGAGTCTTTAAATTTTTGTTTGGGGGATTTTCACCCATTCTTTCTTGCAAAAGCTCTTTTGAGACCTATCCACATATTTTCAATGTTCAGGTCGGGGGACTGTGAGGGCCATGGCAAAACCTTGAGGTAGTCCATTGTGGATTTTGCGGTGTGTTTAGGATCACTATCCTGTGGTAGAAGCCATCCTCTTTTCATCTTCAGTCTTTTCAGTCTGCTAAATAATCCTATGAGCAGTTCTCTCTGAAAGTTTTCTTGGTGTTCCAGACCTCAACTTGACCTCCACCGTTCCTCCACTGTTAACTGCCATTTTATTTAAATTACAAACTGAGAAAACGGCTACCTGAAACTGCTTTGCTATCTTTTTGTCTTCTCCTGCTTTGTGGGCATCAATTATTTTATTTTTCAGAATACTAGGATGCTGACTGTTGAGACAATGTTTGAGGAGTCAGAGTATTTACAAAGCTTTAAATTTTGAAACTTAGCCTTTTATAAAGATGACTGTGAACAAGCTGTAGCTCTAACAATTAAGTCCTTGGTGAAAGTTATCTGAGAGCTCAAATCTCTAGGGGTGCCCAAACTTTTGCATAGTGCTCCTTTCCTTTTTCCACTCTAAAATTGTGTAAAATACATACTAATTCATCTTTAACCTTATGCCTTTTGGAGATCAGCTCATCTTCTAGTCACTTAACTATTCACAGCACCAGAAATTTTGACCAGGGTTGCCACAGAGTCGTGCTACAGCATGTCAAGTGATCAGAATATATTTTACGGGACTGCATCATGACACTAGCACCCCTCTCCTGTAGTAGGTTTCAGCCAGAGTTGAGCAGAAAATGCAGCATTTCATGTAAAGATGTTCCTGTGCCAGGCTCCACTGATGACTCAGCAGCGATGCTTTTGAGCTCCTGACAGGCCATTTCCCCATTAGAGCTGACAGCGCTTGACAGAAGTGTAAATATGAGCGGCAACATCTATTCTGATAAAACACTTCACTCACAGATGGGGAATATCAAGTATATTGCATCCGCTGGATTACCTTGTGGTTTAGCCAAAGCCTAACAAGCACACATGAGAAAAATATGAATCAGAAAATGCTGGGAGTAATTAGTGCAATGTTGCTATCATGAAGTGGGCATTAGGCCACAACATACTCAACGTAAGTACATGAACGCGAATCACAACGTCCGGCCAACACATTGCAAACGCACAGTCCATCAGTAAAAACTCATTGTGTGTTTTTCTCAAGGAGGCAATAGAGGACAAAGCAGAACAGGATCTACTGTAATTCCAACAGCCACAACAGCTAAACATGCGAACAGTGGAGGAATGTGAGCTGCTTTACTTGTTCTATTGGAATGAAGAGGTGATAATGTATCATATTATTTTTAAGAAGCTATTTTTGCAAGGTACACGCTTGCTTCAGAGAGCTTGACCAGGCTTGCCTCTCACTATAGGGCCCATGGCTATAATGCTCAGAATGCAGCTTGCGCTGGTGTTGCACTATAAATTGCACTATAAACTGCATTGTAAGACCATGTTTGTATAGCTTGACGCGCCTGCGTTTGCATCTTTGTGTAAAGTATGTCTCTGGTCCTAGTGTTCAGGTTAAAAATTAAGGTATTTCCAAAGTTAGCCTTACCAAAAGGTTATTCTGTCCTGAAAATGAATATAAAAAAATGATTAAAATGCCAAAGATTCCTAAAAATTACACATGGTGTTAATCATGGAAAACAAACAAAAAAAACATACAAGAGAAATAAATGTTCACTTGGTTGCTTGAGAATATTTACTATGCTAAGAGGTTGCAAATTATTTTTAAATAATTCCATACAAAACCAACATAAATGGGAAAATAAATACTCTTCTGTTGAATACATGAACATTATAGACATACACTACTTTACATTTATTTCTTTATAAGTAATACGCCATAGGTGCAACAATGCATCATGACATGAAAAGGCAATATCGCAATGCAAAACGGTGACAATGTGCATCATGGAGATGTGACAAGGCATTGTGGAGAATGGACAACCTGTTTTTTATGCAATCTATGTTATGTACTTTATTGGTCCTACAAGGGAAATTTGTCATTTTGCTGCCTAACTATGCCCAATCTGAGAGCAGCACAGCGTCGCCAGCAGAGCAGCGCCACCTGGGGCAGTGGAGGATTAAGTGCCTCGCCCAAGGGCACAACAAGGTATACCTAGTCAGTCGTGGGATTTGAACCCGCAACCTTCTGGTAGCCTAGTGGTCTAATGCAATTGTTTTGACACTAAAGGGTAACACTTTACATGAAGCCTGCTACTTAACATTGACAGAACC